TCACTGGACACCTCCTGGCCCTGCCCTGCCCAGCTGCCTCTGCCTGTTCATACATGATATTCTGGGTAATTCCCACCACCTCTGCAGCCAGTGCAACATCTCCTGGCATGCCAAAGCAGCACACCTTCAGGGAGCCTTGACACAGGATGATTTAAGAAGCAGCAACCAGGAGGAACAGGGGAGGAGACAGACCACAGACAGGCTGTGCTATGGGGACAGCAGGCACGGACTGCCCAGGGGTCCCAGGGATACCCAGCAGCAGGCAGGAGCACAGGGAGAAGTGAGCACAGGGAGAAGTGAGCACAGGGAGAAGTGAACACAGGAGCAGCAGGAGAACCAACCACCCATGGGAGATGAGCAGCATTTGCACTACCAGATCTGCACTACAAAATCAACTTAGTGAACATGCAGTTGAGTGGTGCTTACACACCCCATGCCCTTCACAGGGCAGGGCTGAGCACAGGTTTCCCCTTCCTCTCCCCAGGTATGAGCACACCACATCCCTGCACAGACAGAGCCTGCAGTGCAGAGCACACAGCCCCCTGGAGAAGCCTGTGCCACACACATCTCCTGGGACATATCCCAGCACACCCAATGCATCACCCCCAGTGCCTCCAATGGCATCACCAGCTGTGTTGGGAGAAGTGATGGGAACAAAATACATCCCAAGGTACACACAGCCACATTTCATGACAGCCAAAGTCCTAAAGCAGCATTTAGGGGCACATATATATGCACAAATGAACAAGACAGTGCAAAAGCTGATGTCCTCCACTCTTGGTGCCCACTTCAGTCACAATGCCCAGCAGCAGCACCTAGCACACTATGGTTTAGCTCTGAAGTAGTTTTCCAGGTAGAAAACTACTTCCACCCTTGTTTCTCTCCCTTCCTCAGCATCACCACTTCAGCCACAAGCAGTTGCCACGCTCTGCACCCCAACTGAAGCAAAGCCAAGCCACACATACTTGCCAAGTCGCCTGTGTCCCAGCAGACATGTATCCTTTTCCTGGTTCCCATCCTTTATATGGTCCCTGGTGAATGACCTCTGCTCCCTGTGACTAATAGAGCCAATGCCAGCTCAGGTGCTGCCTGATGAATGACCTCTGCCCCCTCTGCCTACAGACCAGCTGCCAGCTCAGGTCCAGCTTTGCATAATTGCAGCTTCTCTGCTGCATAACTGCAACTGCTTCTGCCAGGCTCCTGCTGCCCACCCTTCCCTTTCCCACTCC